CTTAAACAAGAACAATAACATAGAGAGTATATTTAGGCCCCTAACTTAACTATTCCAAGCATGAAACAACTTCCAACAGGTATTTAAACAAAAGGATACCTCATGAAGGGTTAAAACAAGCCACCAAAACAATTTATAGGACCCTCCAAATTAAAGAAATTCCTTTTTTTTTCATAGCATATGTTTCGAACAAGGCAAAGCCACATGAGACCAAAACCGAACCCAACGAGGGGCAAAATCGAGCCATTCAATGGTAAAACAACTCCCCCTCAAACAACTCCCCCTCAGCAACTCCCCCTCAGCATGTATTTTATATGAACAGGATAGTATGAAGTAAAGAAGCATGCATAAATCTCAAAGCTAACATTTCAAGGCCTCCAAAAATTCCTTTTCTTTTCTGAACCAATACTTGAAAACCAATATTTGAATGAGAAAGAGCAGTGATAAATCAAACACCAAGCCATCAAGATAAACTTCAAGAGACTTCCAAAAATAAATTTTTCCTACTCCATATAGATTTCAAACAATTGAGGCAACCACATGAGCTAAAACCGAGCTCCACATGCGTGAAAGACCAAATAAACCTTCCAATGTCTCATGCTAGATAAGAATAAATGAAAAGCTTCATGATACATATCCTAACATGCTTGTAAGAAGAGCTAACATTGTCTCAAAGCCATGTTTCAACCCTCCTAATTGCTTCCGATAGAAATATGCTACAATAAATAAAAACATGCCATAGCTTCACCACTTTAAGCAAGTAATCAGGTTTAACTCCTAGAACATGCTCACTTTTTTCATTTCTAGATGCTTGAGTACCAAGTAATTCAAAAAAAAAATATAAGTGTAATATCACGTAAGCATGCTGTATCGTCTACTGTACTAAGCTAAGGGGCTCGGCAGAGAGAGAACCGAAGAAAGACAGGACACAAAGGGGGGAGAAAGTACCTCCCTGAAGCAAAGAAAAGCCACACAGAAATTTTCAAAGCAAACCTCCACTTCAATCCTTCCTCCAACAGTAAGAGGAAACCAACCCAAATACAACAGGCTAAAGAAGTAAGTGAGAAAAGAAAATGACAGAGTTTTCCCCCCTCAGAGATTTTCGGCCGCTTGAAACGCACCAAATAGAGTATCATATAAACCATAGAGAAGGAGAGGGAATGATTAGGGGATCACATACAGATCGAAGGATCAAGAGGAGCAGACGCCCCCATACGGGCGTGCGAGAGGCAGAGGATGAGATCATCGCAGAGGATGAGATACGATAAGAGATGGGTCGCGGGATCGTCCCGCATGCGCGAGGCGAGCGCGGGAACGAGACTCCAACGACGCGAAGGAGTGGGCCAGGCGAAACTGAGCGAACCGCGGCTAAGGCAGAGGTCCACAAGCGCGAGAGGAAGAAACGGGAGAGGGGAAAATGAAATTAGGTTAAGGATTTTTAATATAAGTTAATAATAATAATAATAAAATTTTTTTTATTATTATAATTAACATTTAAATATGTATTTTCCCCAAGAGACGCCGTCGCAATGAAACTAACGTCCCCCCTAGGCAAAGTCGATGTTCCGGACGCATCGGCGCAGTCCGTTTCGTCATTTCGGAGTCGTCCGGGCAACCTTGTCGTCGATCGGGTCAAAACGCGTCGCAATCCGAATCCTATCAAAATTCCGGTATGAGTTCAATCAAACAGGACGGTGCAGAGAACGGCGGTGCCAAATCAACGAGTACAGTCAATCTTAAGGCCGACAGTTCTATAGGAATACTCTCTGAGTTTCTTCGGAGTAGCCTTACATGCTAAGCAATAACGGTCAAAACTATTATATGGAATGCCAAGTTGAGCGAAGAAAAGTTCAGAATTGCTAACGGAGATGGGCTCCTTCACTAGTTTTCTAGGAGTAGTCGACAGAAAGATCATACGGCTAGATCCTAGGCTACTAAGGAGGAGAAAACTGCACCTCGACCGAAAGCGAGGTCAACAACTACAAATCCTATATTGTTTGAATGGAAAAAAATTATAATGGAAATAACTATCTAAACTTTTGAATTGTGAAGTCCTTTCTATAAGAAAAGAGCTATCAAGCATCTTTTTATTCTCTTTTTGATACAAATAACTCTAATTTTATAGTGGTACGAAACAAATTTCATAATAATATCATAGTTATGAAATATCATGATGCATGAAATCAATAGATGATACATGTTCCTAGCCACTGTAAAATATGGTTGGAAGTCACCAAACAGACTTGCTCGAAAGTTAAAGATATCGCTTTAATATATGAGATCAAGACAAAGCTTTCAAAAACCAAATTAATCTGTCATTAAATGTAATGAAGGTCTATTGGTTAAAACTAGAATGCTTTAAGGTCTCAAGATGAAGTATGATGATTAATTGTATTGTGATTCTTAAACAATTTGTAGAAAGACGGGATTTAATTTTCTGTAGTTCTCAATAATAAGTTTGACTAAGTCGCTATTCAAATCTTGAGCAGAGAGAACATACCATCCGTAGCTAAGTTCTTACTGATAAGAATCGAAAAAAGAGCAAGGATAGTAATGCTTGATACTCTTAGATTCGAAATATCAGTCATATAGCCACAAAATCACAAGTTGAGGGACTTGTTACTATCAAATTTTTTCGAAATGATGGATAAAAAACTTTCCTTAAAGGCAACTTGTGGTGCACTCACTACATGAAAAATGGGCTATTCAAAGAGGAATGTTGGTAACTCCACAAAAAGTTCAAAGGCTATGGTGAAAATAAAGGACAATTAAAAGGTTAGTCTTATCTTATTGAACCTGAATTTCTCAACTTAGAAGAAATTGACATGTTAAACAGCTTAATTCCCTTGAAAAATTTTCCAGATTATGCTCTCTAGCATAAAGTGGTACAAATTTTAGTTCTTGTACATTTATTATCTCTAGTAGTTTCTCTATTTGGATGATAGATTGAGGCGCCATTGATTATATGATAGGCCTTATCAACTTTTTTTTAAATATGCAATCCTATCTCAATAATAAAAAAGAAAAAAAAAATTGTCAATTGCTCTCTAATCACTAATTTAAGTCAAGCAAATATTTTTATTTCTCTTGTATTTACGTGCAACAATTTATTATTTATTTCTAACCTAAAAATAAATTTTGTCTATTCATAAGCTCACCAAAGACTACAATTGCTTACAAATCTTAGTTTATTTTAAGACTTCATTCATTGGGGAAGGATGATTGGGCAAACTACATAAAAGGATGACACCATTTGAGATCATTATTATAGATGAAGACATTTCTTTTAAAAGCCCGACAATATATATTTCATTTTATTTTTTATTAGTACCTACATTAATTTTTTTTTGTGAGATCTGTAAAATTACTAAACATCATAGAGTTTAATATCCTGAAATTGAATCTAGATATTCAAGAATTCAACTCCTTCTTTGATAATTTACTCAGATATTTTGTGACCCTCAAAATCCCTTATTACTTTTAGAGTTAAAAGAATTTGTCACATTCATTGATGATTTCACTCCGATGATATTGGTTTATCTTATCAAATAAAATTCTAATATTATTCATATTCTTTTAATCCTTATTTTTATGGTTAAAATTCAATCAAGTGTCAAGTTTAAAAATTGTGATCAATAATATTTGAGATTTCTTCTTTTTTCAATAAAGAATATAATATTTATCAATCCTCTTGCCCTGACTCTCACAATAAAATGAGGTTAGATGGAAAAATGTGTACCTTTTGTAAGCTATTAGGACTCTTCGTTTATAAGATCTAGTTTCAAAATTTATTGAAGAGAAAGCTGTCATTACCTTCACATATCTCATTACTAGAATACCCCTATGAGTGGCTAAAGGTCCACTTATTAGAGATCAGCTCTCATGCTAGCAAATTGGAAATTGTGGTAAATTTGTGTTGGTAGTGCTACGGCAATCACAGTTTTTAAGTGGACCTTTTTGATGCAATTTCTGGATTGGACATGTTTGTGGTTTTTATTGCATGCTGAGGTTTCTTCATTTGGCTGTTTCAGGTGGTTTCAGAATATAGAAGAAAGGGAATGGAGTTTGTTTTACAAGCCATCAATCAGCCCGCCTACCTAGAGGATCTCACTGGTTTAACGGAGCTCATGAAATCAGTGAATTCTGTCACCTTGGACTGGGATGAGGATACTGATGAATCTGGTGCCAATCTGAATGACTGAGGTAATTTTATAAATGTACTATGTTATGATCATGCTGCTAAACATTGTATTGTCATAGGATACCATTATTTGCACTTCCTTATTAACTATTCTTTTAACTGTGATATTTAAAGGCAAAATGTAAAGAAGAAAAGCTCTTGTTACTTTGTGTAAATGCTCATTCTCATTATTTTCACACTACATTTTGGTTTTTTTCCAATTTTTTATAGATTTTAACTAGATTTTACTGTTACAATTTTCTATTTGTGGTTATCGTTTAAATGGTTGAGGGTAAAAATACTTTTAACATACCACTTTCTCTGGGCTTAGTTTTGACTTTCTGAGGTGGCGTGGAAATCTTGTAATGTTTTGGCTTGCTTTTCTGTTACAAAATGTACCACTGGTTTCTCCTTGAATTAAGATTGTTCGGATTTTTCCTTTTGCTTTTTACCTGAATGCTCTAATTGATTGACTACATATTTCCAATAGGTTGTGAGTTGTAAATTCATAAGATATTGATGTCACAAAATAGGAACAAAATAACTTTTCCAATTGACTAATAAATAATATTAGCTCATGTGGTATCACTCCCCCCATAATACGTAGGCAACTTCTACGTTGGACTACTCCAGTTTCAGGTCTCTTAGTTATTAACATGAAACACATGCTTGATTAGCCTTCATATTGCAATAATCCTTTAAGAACTGTTTTTTTCAGTCCCCTTGATTCATATTTGAATTTTCACAAAAGCACAGCGTTGGGTTTTATATTACTTTTATCTATGTAAAACCTCTAATGCACATCATAAATGTTAAGTTTTTAATGAATTTGACTCCAAAATTTGGGAAATATTTTCCTGTTATGAACGCCCCTTTGAACGTTAAAAAGCAATCATAGTGCCGATGGGTGATGCATGTTGGGAAGTTGTCTAGAGAGAGAAATGTAGTGGTTGCCTAGAGATAATACTTTTAGGAGTTGGTGAAGAGAGAGATTGCGGTGGAAGGGAGAAAGAAGGAACATTTAAGTGACTTATTTTTCAGCTTTTATTATGCAGAGTGGGGGTGTTTCTAACATTTAGAAAAAAATGGCTACATGTTGGAAGAGATAAATGCAATATAGAATTCAGTCTCAACTAGCTGTGTAACCCACCCCAAAATGGTATGAAGTGAAGCTGTTTGTTGGACCCCATGTGTTGAGAGGAACCTTGATGATAGCGATGGTGGAGCACATGATGATTTGAGCGTGCACTTCAGAGCTGAGTGAGATATGTGGATTTAGCTTCTTCACTGTTTTTTCTTTCTGAACAACTATTACAATTATGCTTGGCTAAATTTTCTTACCTTATCTTTTTTCAAAAACTTTTGAAATGGGAAGCAATTTGTTACAATCAAAATTGCTAAATTATAGCAGTTGTAAGAAAGCTGGTGTTTGACTTATTAAAGGGGAAATATATATAATTCCAACACCTTTCAAGACAAAATATATGTTTCCGATAGTTGTTCTGCAACCATATTCAAAGGCGACTGCAGCCACCCAAATGGATTTTAAGAGAGATTTAATGGCTTGCCCAAATGGATTTTAAGAGATATTTGATAGCAAGCCGTTGAAAACAGCCTTTAGGGGGAATAGAATATTCTCAGGTAGTGGAAGCAAATGCATACTGCATAATTTCACTTACTGAATCCACATTGGCTTGTAAGGGCGACGAGAGTTGCTAAGCCAAAACATGGATGTAGTCAATATCAGATGTGAAATTTTCAGTTACAAGTGATAATTTTTAATCAGAGCTTTATATGAGTTGAGTTGAACTCGAGTAATAGCTAACTTGAGCATGGCTCGCCTATCTCACAATAGGCTTGAACTTGAGCTCTCACGCTTATAGATTGTGCTAGGGCTTGGTTCGTCTTATAAAATTCCAGTTTGAGATCAGCTTGTGAGCTTGAGTTCTTCCCCCGAATTCTCAAAATTTTAGACAAAAACTGGCAAGGAAATACCTGTGGGGCTTGCTGGAAAAAAGGATTTATGAGGGATGTTGTGACTGGAGCTCGTTGAGTAAGGCATTGATGCGGTCAACTATGAGGAAGTTGTGGCGAGAGCTCGCTAGAAATGACATCAACAAGACCAGTGGTGAGGAAGTCATGATGGTAGCTTGTTGGAGAAGACATTAATGGGATTAGTTGATTTTGAAGATGAGTAGTTAGTGACACTTGCAGCCTCCGAAGTATGCTTGGGTTTAACCTAACGTTGGGGAACTTGGACTTAGAAATTATTTATTTTTTTTTTATTTTCAAATAAAGCTAGCTCGTGTGCCAACGAGTTAAAGCCTTATCAAACTTGAACTCAAGCTCATTATCAAGTCAGTTTGAGCTTAGCTCGTGAGCCGGCCTGGCTCAATTATACCCCTACTCTTATTAGATATGCATGCATTGGGATGTGATCGATGGATATTGGATGTCAAATTTTCATCTAGAAGTGATGGAATGGGAAGATGGGGTGGCGGGTGCTTAGTTGTGGAATGTGTTGATTGATGACGGTGAGTGCAAACTTGAGGGAGTTGGATTGTGGGCATCATCTCGAGTAGGATTGAGGGGGTTGACTTGAGGGAGTTGGTTAGTACTGCTAATTTTTTGGGAGTTCTTAGCGCTTCAATTGAATAGAGTTTTTTTTCCCTTCTAAATGAAGAGGATGAATAGCAGTAGAGATACTTGTCCGGTTAACTTTCTGCTAATTTATGACATAAGAAACATGCAATTTTCTTTAAGAGATTATGCTAATCTTAGCCAAAATAGTAATTGCAGAGCATTGAAGCTTGCTGATTTGGATTGTCTAACGACTAAGGGTCTGTTTGGGGCAGCTGCAACTTATCCAGCTTCTGCTGATAAGCTCTGCTGATAAGCTGATAAGCAGCTTATTCTGATAATCTGCAGATTATCAGAATAATCTGTCTTGCTGTTTGGGACAGCTTATTTAAAATAGTTTAATGGTAGTTAAATGACATTTCTGCCCCTGTCCGATAAAACTGTTTGGGGCAGCTTATTTAGAATAACTTATTGGTATAAAAAAAACATATAGTACAGAAACATACGATAATCACAGATCAATTTTAAAAGATTCCATACAGTTCTCACACTCTCAAGGGTATCAGGATAACTAAAAAAAGTAGAAATACAAGTACAACAATAATGAGAAATATTAAAATGTTTAGCTTCAAACTCTGACTACGGCGGTCCTCATCTGCAGTCACACCGGCGGTCCACATCTGCAGTGTCAGCCTGAGAAAACATCGGTTTCATATGACTGCTGGCATGACTACTGACAGTATAATATGTGGGACTATCAGCCCACCCGAGGAAGGAAACCGCAACGAGCTGAAACACCTCTGACACAACCATAGAACTTTCTCCCAAAGTTATGCTCCTGACGTGACGAATGTCTTCGGATGAAGTTATGTAATGTCATTGTTGCAATCACAATATGAACCTGCATTTGGAAATAATACGACGACATATCACGTAAGATGACCCACTTCTTTTTCCAAACTCCAAATGTTCTTCCAAATGTTCTTTCAATTAACCCGCGTAAAGATGAGTGACGTTTATTAAACATTTCCTTGCTGCCACGTACTGTGCCACTAGCTCGCTCGAAATCAAGAAGATGATACCTTATGTCAGGGTAGGGCTTCAGGTATCCCCTTTGCATATGATATTCTGCATCAACCAGATAATATTTTGAAAATATTTCTGAAAATATTTCTGAACTGTACTGGATAACATTTCACCAACCCATCTATCTCCAACAAAGGTGGATGTCATGCGGGGAATGCGAGTAGTGCTACGCCGGTAATAATCCAATAACAACATCGCAAAGGCTGTAGCAAATGTCATTTTCTTACGACGTTCACGTTGTGGATCCATCCTAAATGATTTAAAATATAAACATTAATAGTCAACTATCCAAATATAAACATTAATAGACAACTATCCATAAAAAAAATTATTTTCACAAATCAGCCACCCAAATAATACTTTCTTCCAGCATATGATAGATTAGTTCAGCATAAACAAAGATGAAGACAACCCTTCTTGAAGGCTAGATTAGCCCCCAAATATCACTACATATGTAAAAACATGCTAAGAAGATAAATAGATAGCCTATACATGCTTGAGAACTGAACTACACCTCCCTCATAAACTTACTTTTAACTGAATATCATAAAGCATTTAAAATACATTCCACCAGCATGCCATTCTCGCCCAAAGGTGCCACCCTGGAGCAACCTTGGCCGAGCAAAACATAAGACGAAAAGGGCACAGAGGAGGAAGAAAACATACCTCAATCAAATCTCTCTTCAACAACAAAAGAAGGCCAAAGAAAGCTCAAACACCAAACCCAAAAATTTCAAGAATAAATTTTAGCAGGGCCTCCTCTTCTCCCAAAATTTTGGACATATTCAGTTCTTAAAAAAAACTCAAATCTCCAAATGCAAGAGCTGAAAATCCCAAAAATCCAAAACGTATGGGATCCATTTCGAATTTTCATTTTTAGATCATAACTAGAAACCTAAAAGCTTCGAAGTTGCCTTCTAGCCCTCAAAAAAACCAAAGGAACACAAAAAAAACCAAAAAAAACCTTCCAGAAAAAAAACCTTCCAGCCGCATATAGATCGGTAAAGGAGAGCAAAGGAGTGGGGCGATCTCACCAGAAGTGTACGCATGAGATCGGTGAAGAAGATCACGTGGGAGAGCGCGAGAGAGAAACCAGGGGCACGAGAGGAAAATAACGCACGATAAGCCCTAGCCAACGCCGAACGAAACAAGGCCCCCGCGTCCGATGGATAGAACAAATATCGGCCCGCGATTATCTACGATTCCGAAACGCTCTTACGAACGCCCAAACAAACGATGCGGCAGCGTTTGAAAACGCTGCCGTAGCAAAATAATCTGCCCCAAACAGGGCCTAAAAGAGACGTAGGGGCCATGGCTCTTGATCAGTCCCGAGCTTCCCAATTTAGGCCTTGAGAATCAATTGAGTGAGTTTTGAGCTTCCAAGTAAACATGGCTTGATTTCCATGAGTAATGCTACAATTCCTAAATTGACTTCCACAACTTTTGAAATTTATTGATTATAGTGTATTGATAATATAGTTGTTTATGATCTTAGGTTAGTTCAAACAATATACATGATTGTGCTC